TTGCTAAGATTTGGTTAGAGGTACTGCCAGTTATTGATGTGGATTAGTAAATGCTTTGAACCTCCAAGCAGCAGTCCAAATATTTCCTGGTGCTTAGTAGGGAACGAGGAATTAGATGCTTTCGTTGGCCCCATATATGGAAGGGGGGTTCCCAAAATGCGGGGTACCGTTTAATAGTGAGGATGGCAGAATTTCGGGGTCTACATTGAGGCCCCGCGTAACCCATTCCCTCAGTTCTTACGAAGCATCAAAGACAAGAAGTCAGCAAGTGCGCCACTGACGACGGGCACATCATACATTCCGCTATTTCATTAGAGCCCTGTTATTATGTCCTGTGGCGTGCTCCAGCCTGTCAAGGTTCAACCAGCTGAAGGGTTAGAAAACCTTCAACACTCAACACTCTGAAGCCCTAAACCCTAAAATGGAAGCCTCAAAGCCCTGAACTCGGAAACCGGGAGCCATTGACCCTAAACTCTGTCCAGGAGACCCCATGAATCTCCCAAGAAAAGGACCACCCCTATCTAGTATCAACTATAAACTATAAACAACTTTCCTAAGGGAGGAGCCTCGGGCCCTAAACTAGAAATTTGCTAACTAACCCTAGACCCTAAACCCTAGGAGCCCAGATGCTGACAGCTTCAAATATTCCGGGCACATAGCCGGGGACCCCTAGATGATCCCCTTGACCCTAGTTTGAAGTACGCACCAGAAAAAAAGAGTATAGACTTTTAGGTACAAGTTGTTATAATAAGAACCCAGGAACCCAACAAAGTATTAAAGTGTAGTACTCCAATACTGGGTTGAACCCTACCAGGGATCCTTGAGTTCTGGGAAGTCTAAGCCTAAGAAAGCATCAGCGGCCTGAACTGCAGTCCGTTTACAGGCCATGTGGCATGTGCGCCACCATTTGGGGAGGGCGGATGCAGTCGTTAATCTCATGTACATGGTAGTTTCCCTAAATCGGGGACCCCAATATGACTCCCAACAAGTATCTTAAGAAGTATTCTTGTGAGCCGCAAGCCAGTACCCCTAATTCCGGGAAGCACCACATTCTGGGCTGCCGCTAAGGAATTTATATCTAAGTTACCATAATGGGCATATACAGTAAATAATAATAAGGCATCCCCTATATATACATATATATTTAGTACCTTATATGGAATTCCTAAACCCTAAACCCTCAACCCTATACCCTCAACCCTATATACTCCTATAGTAACTTAAATTCTCTCAACAACAACCCAGCATATGCCTTAGAGCCTTGAAGTGCGAACTGCGACCAGGGGGCTCCTGGTTCAAGTCGAGACCCTGACCTGAGTGGCAAGCATTGCCAACTGAGTAGTGTTTTTTTTGGTGGTTAAACCCAGTAAGATTATATTCCTTATATAAAATACTAGACCACCAAAGGAGGATGTAATCTTACTCTATACTGGGTACCATAGTACCCCCAAGTAAAATACTACTCAACTGCCTCCCTAGTTAAGTGTAGGCTCAACCCCTGTAATGCAAGGTTTAGGGTTAAGGGTTTAAGGTGTAGGCCCTAGGGATCCACATAGCCCAATGCAGGTAATATTTACAAACTTTAAGGCCAATATACTATTATTTGTATACTTGGATCCCTGGGGCAACGGTTTCCTGGACCCCTCAACATACATAGAAATGGTTTTGTGGACAACTTGTCAAGTCTGGGGCCACTAATTTACCGAATTTGTTGGACAATTTGTCAAGTCTGGGGCCACTATTTTACCGAATTTCGGAGTCCTGGTTAGGGGTCAAGATTTAGAGTTCGGGGTTCAAGGTGCAGGGATGCCAAAAGCTGTGATGAAAGCCCAAAACGAACACACCTTGAGCTACAGGTACGCCTCAAAATCTTGTCTCTGAAGGGCTTGAAGGCTTTGAGCTGGAATTTCTGGAGTTGACTGCAGGGCTGTGGGTTTATGGGGGCTTGGAGATTCTGGGTCGCGGGTCAGACATGGGTGTTAAGATTTCACTTAAGGGCTGAAGGTGTGTGGCTTGAGGGTTTCAATGCCTGAGGGTAAGGCTTGCATTTTGGCAGCATGCACGTGCTGGTGTAATGAGTCTAATGTCCTCTCTCCTTCACCTGCGCCGAAAACCATGCACTTATAGATCATAGAGACTACTAAAACCTACTTAAAGTTGGCTCCAAAAACAGGAAACCCTGACCCATAACTCGTCCTGTGATCTGGATGTTCAACTCTGTGCTCCCGGCGAAGCTTTTTGACCTCCTCCGCCAACTCATCGTAGCCGCCCTGTTTTTTGCGAAGCAGTAACAAGCTTACGATATGCATTAATCCATCATGGCCGAGCCAGATATGGGGCTACGAGCTCCATAGCGCTGGCAAATGGGGGTGTTTCTGAGGTCTTTAGGGATCCCAGAGCCTGATAAAGATTAGAAAAAGGTTTATATGTCTCCTGTAAGAATTCTGAAGTCTTAGTCGCGTCTAAGACACACTCACACAGAGGTTGAGTGCTAAGAGGCCTTTTGTGGCCAGAAGCATCGTTATAGACCGCGTCGCAGTGGTTGGCTGGAGCAATAGAGCAATCCCCTCCCCAACCCCCAACAAGAATCAAACAAGACCTGCCGCTAGTCAAGACCCCCAATACAGTTTCGACTAGATACTAGGCTACTGGGAAAATACAAAATTTAGTAGGCGATTATGCATATCCTTTCCAATAATGCCAGGGGCAATACTTATAACTAGGAAGGCGGGGGGTATTCTTCAGGGGAGGTGAGTGTCCAAGCCCTCCACCTTGAATATCCGATTGTGACGGGAATTTAAATTCAGAGTGCCCAGAGATACCTGGATCCAACCCTAAACCCCAAAACCTTGTGGGCCCACGCAAGAGTGAAATGGCCTGAAGGATGGCCTAAGTCCCCATATTCCCCCCAGTTTCCATTTCATTTTCCATTTTCTTTTCCATTTGATTCTCCATTATAGGGGGATAATATAGTAATTTAATTTAAGTTCTGGAAAACCGCTTTCAGGCCCCCTCCCGCTATGTCCGGAATTTGGGGGAGCGGTCTACAATTGACTTGAGGCTACATGCACCTCAGGCAGTTGCTTTGTCCAAAACTACGTAACTCAACATATCGGCTGCGCTTGTCTACCCACCCGTGGTTGCACACTTCGTGAGCTGCGCCTAAGCACCACGGGAGCTTCTGCAATTAAAACGAGAGGTCCCTATCTTGAAAGACTCCAAAACATTCGGCAATCCCTGTATATTCTCATAATAATTTGCCAGGTGGCGCCTGTCAGCCAAGGGAAAGCAAAGAAATTCCCCTAAACTCTAGACCCAGTGCATTTCTGGCTCTGAGGGTTCTGCCTGGGTTTGAGAGGCTCATAAACCATCCGAGATCTATAGTATGGGTTTGGTACGACTGCCTTTGAATAATGACCTTATAAGAATCATCTGAAGTTCATTTGGTTCCCTCTTTCCTTGCCCCCCTCCCTGCGGGAGTCCTTGAGATGGGATACCTTGTCCCCCACGTCATCCAGCTTCGACTGCTCATGGCAGATAAGCTCCTGGCAAGTTTAATCTTTAGGGAAACTTATTTTCAGTGTAATTTAGAATGATTACAATTCCCAATTTAAGGCCATTTTGGTACCATTCCCTATATTCACCACCCTTTAGGGTGAGGTCGGGTGAGGTCGCTTTAAATTGCCCGGTATTGCTCCCTGTTGAAGACTACGCAGATCAGGGGTTGAGGGTTGTAGCATTTTGCGCTGCATTGGGGGGAGTGCTATTGTTCGGAAATACACACATCTCTGAATACAAAATGGCGATGAACCATTAGAAGGGCTCTGGGAAAGATGCAAGAATTCATCTAGAAAAAGGGAGGTTCTTGCTGTCTTTCCGGAACGTTCAACTGTGAAACTTCCTTTCCCTCTAGCAGCCACTATATATTCCCCAATAATACAGCAGCGCATTCTCTGTTCCATTCCTTCCTTCCCTCCCTACTAACAACCAACCTATAGACTATGAACCCTAAACCGCCTTGTGCTCGCGAAGCTCTGTGGTATGCAGGATCACAGTCTCTACCTCGATGTGGAGGTGTGTGCAACCCAGGGGGCCCAGGATTTAGGGTTTAGGGCTCAGGGTTTAGGAAGATATCCTACGATACTAGGGACCTTTTCATGGTTTAGGGTAGATTTTTTTGACTAACAGGTATTGAGCCCCCGAAAAGCTTTGAGCACGTGTTTAAGGATTTTGTCTTTCTTTGACCTGCAACAAGAGCCTTTGGTCCATGGCTTGCTAATAGAGCTTGCAGGAAAAGAACAAACGATCATGTACCGTAGCAGCTGAGTCATTAGCGAGCCGGCGACCTGGCAACCCTAATGCGCTAACCTTATAATGTAGCCCGAAGCCCTAGTGCATGTATTCAGGCCTCTGCAGTATCTTAAGGTTAAGGGTATGGGCCCAAGCTTTAAGATGGGAGTTTAGAGTAAGCCTTCGATGGCAAATCAATACGAACACCAGGCCAGATTTCAGACGTCAAAAGGGTGTTTCTCAAAAAACGGGGCCCCTAAGTGCTCCAGGGGTATCAAGGGATGACACAGAGGTTATGAGGGTCAAGCATTGGGTTTTTCAGAAATAGACAGATGCAGCGATGACGCCCAAGCTTTTAAAAGATGTAGTGCCCATCCGTCCCCAACAAGATTGACACAGATCTGCATGGAAAACACCAAGAAATCCAGCAATGACGAATAAAACACACACACACATACATAACTCAAAGTCCCGTAGATCCTTGGCAACCTTAGTCCCGCATTCTGAGAGCAGCACTATTTCCACACGCAAGAGAACTTTTTCCATGGGGCTAAGGATGCTCAAGTTGGTCCTAATTCTTTGAAACCCCATATCAACCCGCAGTCTAAACCTAAAGCCTGAATTACCAAAATTTGAAACCCCTGCAGCCCCCCCCAAACCCCAAATGCTCTAATTTCGAACCACAAGCCGTCCCAGTTGAGTCAAGCCACCGCTTTTCGCTGCTTGGCTTCGTAGGACATGCTGTCAAACATACCTGGGTCTAGGGTTCAGGGCTTTGGGTTTGGGATTTCGAGCTTTGGGTTTGGAATTGAAGGCGTCCAAGTGACTGTGTCACCGGCGCGGGGTTCTTAGAGTTTCTGGAGGGAAAAAGCTACTGGGAAATAAAACGGAAGCCGGGTGTATGCAGAGGCATATATTGGCTAGGGTTAATTAGAGTACGGCTTTTATTTAGGCTTTTCTGCTTTAGGCATTAGGTGGGGAAAACTCGAAGCCTTTCCAAAGACAGGTACGCTACTGTCTCTATGCCCTCTACTTCGAGGGTCAGGGTACGTAGTGAGTAGGTTCATAAGGGGGTTAGTTAGAGTTACTATATGGATGATAGGGCTTATTCGCCTACTTCCTAAGTCCCAGCTGACCCTCCCAAGTAGGGCCCCATTATCTTCAATGCAGAAGCCCATGGCGAGGACCCGTCTCAAAACATGTCAGCCATCAGGGCATGGAAAGGAAGAAAGCCTAAGCCATAATCTTGAACCCTAAACCTTAGGACCTCTAGACCCTATACCCGAAGCCCTACACGCTAAACTCTAAACCTTAACTCCCAAACCCTGAACCCTAAACCTGCAGCCCTAAACCCTAGGCCCCAAACCCTCAATTGGGCTTCAACCTCCCTAGCTTCTAGGATAGACGGGCGTCCCAAACCAAAGGGATCCCAGACAGGGCTAGTCCGAGGTTTATGGCTCACGGGTTTAGGGTTATAATCCCCCTTAAGTAAATAGAATATGGGGTATATGGGGGTCTCATCATACTATACCCAAAGCCATATTCTATCTACTTAAGGGGGAGTGTAGATTTATCAATCTAATTCAATCTAGACGGAGAATTATACCCTGGGCATCTAAGTCTATAAATGATACTGACTTTGGGCCCTAAAGTCTACAAGTAGTACCACCTTGGGCTTTGTCTATGCTGAGGGATAGCTATGAAGTAGGACAAGTAGGCATACATTGCCAATAGCTGTGAATAGCTTCGGAGCTGTGATTGAAAACAGTCTGGTTTAGGCCTAGTCTCCCTGGCACGGGAAATATCACGGACCTCCCAACGTTTAGAACTCACGATGGGCCGTGCAACTTGACAACTCTCTCTCTCTGCAAAACGAGCTTGATCAAGTACTGAACACTAAATGCAGTCCACTCGATGCCTGATACCTGGCAGCGCTCAAGAACATAGAAGCCCAGCAGGTAAAAATATCAGAAACTCGTTGTTCAAGAAGCGGCGGCCCATAACAAGGTCTGCCCTACATCCGCTTGCGCTCTATCAGCTGAAGGACGAAAAATGCGCAAGTGTAGGCCACAAGCTGACATCAGCATGGGCGAGATGGTCTCCAGCACTTGAGCTTTCAGAAGCGAACATGCATGTCCCCTAAAACTCAACTACTACACTCTAGCACAGATCATCGCGTTCCCCAGTTGTTGCCTGTATAGATGGTTCCTGGACTGTAGGCATAACATAGGGTGATATGAGCCATAATCTAAGCTCCAAGTACCCCTCTTAATACATCCGTATATAACCCCACTTCGAGGAGGTTTAAACTATAGTACACGTATACGGACTAAGGATAAAGAACCCATTTAGTGCACACCTGGCATGTTCCTTCAATCCCTATATTACTCCACTCTCCATGTCATCTTCCATTTTCCTTTCCATTTGATTCTCCATTATAGTGGGATTATAAAGCCTAAGCCCTGATTTTGCCACCGGGTTGCTGCGCAACATTCTCTCAATGTCAACCTTACCATCGGGGCCCAGCATTCTGGTCAAAAGAGCGCAGAACTCGTCAAAGTCCTTGGAGAGCTCAGAGTTTCGGGCAAGTGCCCTGAAAATTACATCCTTTTTTTCTTTTTTTTCGCGGGGCAAGTGCTTCAGAAACTAGAGAGAGTTCCTCCAGGTATGAGAGATTAGCGTACATCAATTTACAACAGCAGGAAGTGGTGACAGCGATGACTGGCCTTGTTCACCTTCGTACTGAGGCCCCAACCACGCTGAAACATATCTCCTTCTCGCGACGATACACATAAGAGTCCCCAACAAGATGGCATGTTTTTGGGGAACGCTTCAGGTGCTTTTTGGACTTGTGGGCTTTTTTCCTAGGGCTTGGAACCCTAAACTCCGCGCCGTGAGAGATTCCTTTGCTTGCACCCCAGCACTTGCCTGGATTTCTCTGCTGCAGGTGTCGCTGAGGTTCTTGTTTGACTTGTTGTTCTGAAGCGTCTTTCTCACAACCAGATAAAGGCTTGTGGTACCTGGCGCCTCGAGCAATCAAACGGATGCAAATGAGGGATAATGGAAAAGAACATGCAAAGTAACGTGATTATCGAGAAAATATAGGGTTCATATAGGGATTATAAGGATTATAGGGATCATATAGGGTTT